TATCCTCTGGTTGTTTCGGCTGTGCTGTGTAACAGAGGATACTGTTAAATCTCCTGACTTTATGACAATCCCTCTGAGCTTCTATTTTTAGCTTCTACAAAATAAAAGTTGTAATAATCTATTCCATAAATACTATAAGAAAGCATATTGGATATTGGGGATATTTTAAATGTGTATTGCAAAATTCTAGGTGCAATATGAATACTGAATAATAATTGAATGTAGTATTAGTAACTATTTTGGAATTTCCTGTTTGTTATAGCAGGTACTTGTCTATCATAAGTATATTAGTCTAAGTCCTAATAAATAGCAATGTACTTTTATAATTTAGAGAAGAATCTTTACAGGCAGTTATAATTACAACAGAAATATGACTTGGAGATAAATTAAATTGCTTATATTTTCCCTATTTGTATTTTAATTTTAAATGTATCTTGAAAATTTACTTCGAATATGAGCTTAAGTTTGGATATAGTTAGAACTGATGCCTTCTATAATAAAATTAATTTTAAATCATCATGAGACATCATGAAGTATAAAGAGCTTTTCTGAAATGTATTTGTTTTTAATACCCTATCCTTCAAACTGCAAAGTTAGCCAGAGTCACTGTTTAAAGGGTATGAACCAAAATGGGAAAGCAATTTATTATTTTCCCTTGTTATATACTTAGTTTGAAGAGTAAGAGCAGCAATTATTATCAAAAATGGGAAGTGATTTAAGATGAAAAGTACAAAACTTCAAGAATCTAGGTGAATTGTTACATTTTCAGCACAAAACAAATTTAAGATTTAAGAACGTTCTTTTTTTGTACGTAGGAGGAATCTCTGGCCATATAGCAACAGTGACTGATCTTAGGTGGTGGGGGCTGACCTGTGGCGCACTGAGCCAAGCTGTCTTGCACAGCTCAGAGCCAGCAGGTGCTGGTCTGCACACCTGCTCGTCTCAGTGGCTCACATGAATGGTGGCATGGCAAGTGTGGGTTTCCTCAAATGCTCCTACAAAATACTGCCAGGACAACTGTATGATGTTAGAAACACATTTGCTAATAAGAAAAGAGAAAATTATGAAAAGAAGCTAAAATTATTAAACGATTGATTTGAATGGTCCTTCTTGTGACAGAAAATAGATTCTGCCATGGGATGTTAGCTCAGAAGCACTTCTGGAACATTATTTAGGATAAATAGTCACAGTGTGACTAGAGGCCCTCCACTGAGAACAGCCATGACTTTCTGGTCATTTAAAAAGACTGCTGGAGGCTTGGGGATAATAGAAAGTTAAATCAAGAGTAACTTATAAATACTGCATTGTTGTGCAGTACAAGATCCATCCCAGAATCCCTGTCTGCCTCCTCCTCTCCAGTCTTCACATGTAAAAATCCCGCTCCCCTGCTCTAATGTCACTGCCACAGAAATGCCACTCCTGGCAGCAAAGAGAACCTCTAGTCTAGA